ATAATTTCACTTTAATGGTGTGTAATTTTTTTTAAAAAAAATTTAATGTTCAATTTTTTAAAAATAAAATAGTATTAAAACTAAAGTTAAAATCTCTCTTAAATTTATTAAGGGGCATTTTTGTCATTATAACATTACTTTGCAACAAATTTGATAAGTATGGGGTTTTATGACAACTTTTTTCTTCAGGAGTGTTTATTATCGAAAATTAAAAATAAAAGGGGGTTTTATGCAACTTGCCTTAAATATAATAGGTAGTAAAACAATAATTTATCTTTAAGACAATTTGCACATGTACTCGCATATTTTATTACTAAATTAAGTGTAACACATAAGAACATCTCTAATGGTTGTCTATATATATATATATTTGTAAATACGATGTGTTATAGTAGATTTATACAAATATTTGGAACTAATTATTTTTAGTTCCGATCATTATTTTATACCTTTTGTGTAAAAATATACCTGCCAATAACAATCAATTATTTGTCATGCCCAAAAACCCCCCACATAACTTTTACAAACATACTTAATATAACATAGGGTTGATTGAATGAGAAAGAGAAAGGAGAGAAAATACGCTGATGTGGTTGTGTAAAAAAATTGTGCAAAATATACATATGTGAGGTGATAATATATCTTAACAGACTGGAGATAAAAAAGTTTTACACAAAAGAGTTTTTTTAACACAGTGCTAAGATGCTCTAACAATAATTTCGATTTGTTGGTGAGGCCGCTACCATTTGGGGTGCGCAAACAAAAAATAAAATAAAATAAAAATTAATAAATTAATAAAATTGTAGCATTTAACAAATTATGGATCTACTCATTTACTCCTGTTTGCCGGATAAATATTTAATTACTCATATTGTATTAATAATATGATATTACTAACTTATTAAATACTGATACGTTATAATTAAAAAAAAAAAAAAAATTAACACTTGTATATACTACCAATTGTAGTATAAGAATAATCCATCCTTATTCTCAACTATTAAATCAAGACTACGAGGTTTAAATGATTTATATTTAATGGCATAGTAGCAAATTCATGATAGTTGTAGCTTCTACTTGGCATTAATTAAGATAAAAAAGAAATTTAAAAATATAAAGGAAAAGAAAGAATATAGTAGTAGTTCACCTCTCATCACCCTTTTAAATAACTAGAAAAATGCAAAAGGAAATAATAGTTTTTTTTTTTTTTTTTTTTTGGGTTGAAAAAAAGCATAGTGGGGTAACTTTATAATGTTTGGAAAAGGTATGAAAAAGATTTTTTTTTTTTTTTGAAAGAGATTATAAAACGTCCCTCCTCATTTTCTTTTCTTTTCTCACATAATTTTTTATATAAAAAAAGAAACAAGCTTTCACTTCTTTTCCCTTTCATACCAACTCTTTCAGCATTTTTCTTTTTCCTTTTTTTACTTTTAGGTCCCCCTAATTTCACATGCTTTTTCAATTGGATTCTTCTTAAAATCAATTAGAGATATAGGACTGTTTTTAGAGAATTGTTATTATTATTATTTTTTTCTTAGTTAATATTCACCCTTAACGAATTGTTATTATTATTATTTTTTTCTTAGTTATTATTCACCCTTATTGAATTGTTTGCACTCAAGAAAATTCAAATCTTAGATTGGATGTTTCTCGAAGCACCGGGCTAAATTCTTATCCAGTTGAGCCAACCCACTTGCTCTTTTTTCGGCAAACCTTTTAGCATTTGAAGATTGACTAAACTTTTGTTAAATGACGGCTTATTAGTAAAAATACCAAAAAAAAAAAAAAAAACCATTTTAATTGTAATGCAAAAGAAAATTTTATTTTAATTTTTAATTTTTTTTTTATTCCGTAATACAATAGAACTGATTTTTTTTTTTTTTTTTCCCGTAAACACAGAGTAAAATGTTTGGGAGTTCTTTTTTCATATAAAAAGTCCTTTGTTAATAAGGCCTTCATACAAGAAACGTTGTTAGAAGGAATTGTTAAAAACCAAAAAAAAAAAAAATTTGGTGGGTGCATAAGCATTTCTTAAATATCCTTTTAACTTTTAAAATACTAATTAGGTGACAATATTATCCCTTATCCATAACAATATTTACCTGTAATCAAGCATTTTTCTTAAAATCAAGCAACAAATCAACTACTACTTGCCATCAAACATCTTTCCCAACCCCATGGACAAAAAGCATCGTTGTCCAAACTGATTGTTGCTTTCACGAAGAATAAACAAAATTTTCTACAAAAGATTTTTATTTAAACAATTGATTTAAAAAATTATAGTTAAATTTATGCAAATTTAATAGAAAGTATATCATCAAATTAGTATGAATTTTTTTCATAATTTATTTCAATAAGAAAAATAGATTAAGTGTAATTAAATAAGAAAGGGCCTTGTGACCATTTAATGAAAAATAGTTTAAGCATTAGGGTATTTTGCAACAAAAGAGACAAAGGATGTGTTTGGTAACCACTTTTTCTGCTTCATTCTTTGTTTCATCTGAAATAAGAGCAACATTTTTGCTTGCTTTGAAGTGTGTTCAATACTATTCGGAATTATATTTGGTAACGTTATATTTGTTGCAAATGTCTTTTTTTTTTTTTTTTGGATACTGTTCATCGCTAAAGTGCTTTTGCTACAGTGCAGAAGTAACCGTAAACACCAATTTGGTGCTTCCGATTTTGACATCTTTTTCAAAAACATTTCGATACTATTCAAATCGTAGCAAACGTTTCCAAACTCGCTTCCATATTTTACTTCACTATAGTATACCATCCAAAACAAAAAACACTAAACAGAAATGGTTGCCAAACAAGACCTAAAGATTGAGTTATCATATTATTATTATTAATTATTATTTTTTTAAGACAACAATATTAAGTCGGACTCTAAAAAAAAAAAAAAAAAAAACGAAAGAACAACTCAACAACAAACTACAAAGGCATTAACAAGGAACGATAGTTGATTAGCGTATTGAATTAGTCATCCCACAATAATGCTCATTTTTCTAATAATGATATTTATTGATTCACCATTCCAATAGAATCTGATATAGGAATATATATGTCAAAAATTCCAAATCACCATTAACATTGACACATTTCTTTGTCATCATCTGTTCACATCATCCACCTATTACTTCTTACCTTAAATAATTATGTACCTTGATTGATACAACTATAATTAACCTTTGTTTTTCAAATAAAAAAACAGAGTCGTACATTTTAAAATTGGCCAGCAAGACTTTTAGACACCAAAACAACGCTAAATTACATTGCTCAATGATGAATAAAATAATTCTAAACTCAAACAACATTTAATTACATTTCTCAATGATAAATAAAATCATTCTTGTTTAATTACATTTCTCAATGATGAAGAAAATAATTCTCAAACCCTCTTGGTCGGCAACTTTAAAATTCTTCCCGATGATAACGTACTCCTTATTTGGTGCTAAAAAATTCCGACATATTAGGATAGCCAACATTATTTAAACAATAAATTATACAATAAAATAAAAGTGTAATAGTAAAATTAACATAAAAACCACTTGGATGTTTTGAAAAGTTCACATTGGATTATGAATTGCTTCAATTAAATACGATAATCATGAGTCGAACCCTTCCATCCAGCCCAAACAAACATATTTCATATTCTACTTACAATCCTTTATATACACAATACATTTGGACTAGCTTTAATTTTAAAATGAAGACTGCAGTTTATGCTTTGTTTGGTTAATATGGATTTTAGGACAATTTTATTTGTTATGGCGTGTTCATATATAATATGAAATGTATAAATCTGACAACTTCCTACATCATTTTTCAGAAACAACAAAAGTTCTTTTTGACAGACAAATGTTTTTCCTGTCCTTTCCTTTCTCTTAAGGGAATTATTACATATAAATGGTATAAATAACGCATATTTATCATTTGATGGAGTCAAAGTCTCATAATTTTAAAATAATAAAGATATGAAAAAAACACTATTTGACCTAACTAAGGTACTACTTTTAGGCACATAAGTACCACTTTTTGTGCATGCAGGTACCACTTTTTGTGTTGCATAAAAAAGTGGCACCTAAGTGAATAAAAGTGGTACTTCTATGCCCAAAACAAAAATGGTACCTGATGCACAAAAAGTGATACAACCATGAGCCTAAAAGTGATACCTCAGTGGGATAATTAGTGTTTTTCCATGTTCATGTCAGCATTTTGGTCAACTTCAATTTTTCGAAACTATGAGACTTTAAATCAATTAAATAGTAAATATAGGTCATTAGCACCGTTTATATGATAATCCCTTTTTTTAATATTTCAGTAGGAGTTCTTATGCAAGTCATCAAAACATTGTAAACTTGTCACTGAAAATTTAAAATAAATTCTTAGAAGAGTTGCCTCTACATAACTACTCAACATCATTCATTTGATGAGGCAAGTTTCCATGCTAGTCTCACATATTATTCATGACCCAAGTGTGATTTTCTGTTCTTTTGTACTGATTAAAAACTCAACATGATCGACGCGGACGCTTAACTAATAGAAAATTTCATTTTGAGAATTTGATTTTAATTCGGTTTATATACCTCTATATAGCTAGTACTCCAAATACAATAAACTCAAAATATAATATCATATTAAAAAACTTTCTGCAGTGGTTTGCTATATCCTCTGCCCATTTGTGCTACTAAAAAACAATTCCATACGGTAAATATATGTATATACACACACACACACTTTTAATATAAATGTATATGGCATGATATCACCGACTAATTAAATGCCGACTTCTATAAGTGGAGACATAAAAAAAGGCATTCAAAAATTGCAACAAAACTGCTCATATAAGGTGCTACAATACCTAGACTAGACCATAAATTTAATGCCCTAATCAGTTCACTAAATTCACAAATAATTAAGTAACAACTTTTGATGGATGGAACCAAAATAAACAAAGAGGTAAAATACGAATTTACCAGACTGTAATCAGATGGGTTTCACTCCAGAGGTTGTTTTGCTTGCCCTGCATACGCCACAGTGCGAAATATGGAAACTTTTAGCACAAAATCCTTAGCCTTGTTCAGCTCAAAGACACAAGTATCTCCTTCCACCAAGTTATTTTCCCTCACAAATGTTCCCCAACCCATGGTCAATTTTGCCTGTCGACCTAATTTGTCATGAATGCAACGGGCATACCACTCTCTTCCATCAGAAAGCTGAAGTTTAACCATATTTATATCTGAAACACCAAGCAAATACTTCATCCTCATGCCAAATTCTGATGGTATATTCTGCATAAGAAAGACGAAAAGATATCTATCATTCCACCAACGTCATACTTAAAATAATACTTGATATAAGATTAACATATTGGGAGATATATTCAGTTTGCTTCCACTTAAAAGCAGCTGGTTGGTCACTTAAAATATTCAGTTTGCAATAATCTTTACACCATGTAACGTGAATTCAAGGGCTCACCAGGAAAGAGTGGTTATATGAATGCAATATAACCCTATGGAAATGATTTTCAGGCTTAAACATTGTTGCAGCATTAATTTCCCTCTCTCTTGCTTCGTTTTTTACTGGTCCTCCTGTCAAACAAGTTATTGAACGAGTGTTAGTCCAAGCATTTGTGCACAACATTCTTGTTTGACCAATGATTCCTACCCATCTGCAATTTATCAAATTAGTGACAAGAAAATAAATTCTTACATTACTTCTGGCAGAAAAAAAGGTAGTCTGAAAGCTTACTAGAAACAGTTCTTTGATTTGTGTTCTTTGAATATTTTCTTTCATCAAACTCATGAGGTAGGTTTGGTTGCCCTGCATACTCCGCGATGTGAAATATGGAAACTTTTAGCACAACATCCTTAACCTCGACCAGCTCAAAGACACAAATATCTCCTTCCACCAAATTATTTTCCTTTACAAATGTAATCCAGCCCTTGCTTATTTTTGACCCATGCCCCCCATGTCCACAGGCATGAATGAACCGGACACACCACTCTCTTCCATCAGAAACCTGAAGCTTAACAATTTCTGAAACACCAAGCAAATACTTTATCTTCATTGCAAATTCTACTGGTATATTCTGCATACGAAAGAAAAAAAAAAAAAAAAAAAAAAGGAAAAAGAAAAGAAAAGAAAAAGATATATATCATTCCAACATCAAACTGTAAGTAATACGTGATAGAAGATTAATATATTGGGAGAAATGTTCAGGTTGCTTCCACTTATAAGCAGCTGGTTTGACATCTTTACCAGCATGATCAATGAAGCAACATAAACAACTTAAGCAATAATCTTACACCATGAATTCAAGGGCTCACCAGGGAAAAGTTGTTTTTTACATTATATGAGCGCAATATAATCATATGGAAAGGATTTTTAGTCTTAAACATTCTTGCAGCATTAATTGCCCTTTCTCTTGCTTGGTTTTCTACTGGTCCACCTGTCAAACAAGTTATTGCACAAGTGTTAATACCAAGCATTTCTGCACGTCATTCTTGTTTCACCAATGATTCCTGACCATCAGCAATTTATCAAATTAGTGACAAGAAAACCAACTCCTACATCACTTCTGGGAGAAAAAGTAGTCTGAAAGCTTACTAGAAACAGTTCTTCGATTTGTAGTCTGATGAGTTATATCTTTATTTCTTTGAATCGCCACAAGTGAACTATTTGCAATTTTTGTTGGATGCTGCTGCTCTACATCAATTCTAAATGTTTTGTCCTTGAGATCATTCTCATTTGACTGATCAAAACCCCCATCACGAACTGGTGGAGCCGGTGCTTGTAAATTCTGAATATTCTTAGTCACACTCTTGGATTTATCCAACAAAGAATCTTGCCAGTTTGACGCTTTGCTTCTGCTTGGTTTTCTTCCACACGCTCTATGCAAATTCTCTAATTTAATTGTTTGCCCCAGATCTTTTTTATATCTTTTGCTTCTTGTTAGACTTCGAGGAGTGGTTTCCGAGCTCTCCAACAAAGCTGCGCCTTTACCCTTTCTGTCTTGTCCCAGTCTAATTTTAGATGAAGATCCAACAAAACCTGTGGACCCCGACATTTCATCTGAGTCATCATCTTCTATTTCTTCATCATCAGATAATTCGATTAGCTTTCCATTATTGTTTTCTTTAGAACTTCTGCGAATAGTGCATGAATACTGGATCTCGGTGGCAGTCAAATCAAAGATAAGAACATCAAAGCTCGTATTCCCTTTATATTCGAAGACTAAAAAGTACCCACGACTGATTGACTGATGTTCCATAAATTGTTGCCAACCATCACAAAACCAGAGCATCTTGTCAGCCTTCTCTAATCCCACATGCGAAACGTGGCCAGTGGGAACAGTGAGAATGGCAACATCAGAGAGTTCATCACTGTACTTCCTCACAAACTTTTCAGGGATTCTCTGCCGATATAAAAATTAAGTTGGGCTCAATTGTTTAAGTGAAGTTAAAGTGCTTGCATAACATGAATGTAGCTCCAAAAATTGTAAATGTTATTGTTAGAAAATTTAAATACTAAAGTTACACCCTCTAAGAATTTAAGCTTTTTGAGCAGGTGGTGGTTTAACATTGTATCAGAGAGTAGCCAAGGTCCTGAGTTCAAAACTCACTGTTGAAATTGAAACTTTTTGAGCAGGTGGTGGTTTAACATTGTATCAGAGAGTAGCCAAGGTCCTGAGTTCAAAATTCACTGTTGAAATTGAAACACGTATTGGACCAAAAAAAGGACACATCTGAGGGGGCGTGTTAGAGAATCTAAATATTAATATTATACCAATATACCCTCTCTATCGGCTTAAGCTTCTACAGGTCATCAAAGAGCAACGCCATACAGAGCTAACATACTACAACAGACTGTAATCAGCTTACATGACTTGCTTTCGTTGGTTCTTCACTTTGGTTTGCAACAAGTGACCAGAAACAGACACTTGGCTACAAAATTAACCCTTATCAGCCAATGGGGAGTTTCAATAAAATGAAGATGCAGTCCCATTGTATTATGTCAATTACATTACTAAAAAAATTGCCCGAGAAATTTGTTGCTATTATTTCATAGCTAGGGACTGGGAATTTTTATCAACGAAGAAGTACCCAGATTTCTTATGTTGAAATCACTACAATAAAGGAGGGTTCTCCAATTGATTAACCTCTCGCAAAAAAATTCCAAGCAGAGCCTTTGGCTTCAAAGGAAAACCAGAAACAGAATCCCTAAATAAATTTGTTGCCAGGGTAAATGAGGTAGTTTTGGCCGGTGTAATTGAGAGCAGATATAAACTTGTCTTTTTTTTCCTTTGGCAAGAAACTCTCATGCCCTTTTGCCCCTTTGGGAACTTGATGTTGGGATTTATATGCCCTGGTAAAGCAAATTCCTATCTAGATTAAAGTGACATATGTTCCTGACATATCTGAAATATTTATGATTTATATAATTGGTGAATTCAATGTATTATGTTTCGATTCATTATGAAATTGATAGTGTCCCTGTGATTACAAGAAATATTTATATATATGTATGTGATGGCAATCAATGCATGATATATATATAGTAATTATAAATTGTTCATAGTCGGTAATTATGGATGGACTCATAATTAATTAAGACTTGAACTGGATCCGCGTTAGGTTGAGATATATTGCGAGAGCCGTCGTATGCAATTGCTCCCTAGCACCGTCATAGCATTTGACCTTAAGCATGAGAAAATTATAGACTCTTTTATTAATTAATAATTACTTTGATTTGTTCGGCGGATTCTTCGGAATCCTTAGACCGACACTTTGGGTAGTTATGTAATTAATAGTTAGAGGGTTATATTTTTAATATTTGTATCATTGCTACTTGTATTTATTTTGTATTGATTATGGTTGATCACAAAGTAAATTCGAAGGCCTTCGTATGGTTTTAGACAAAATGATTTATTATATATTTATTTATTAAATTATTATTTTTTTGTCAAACAAATATTTTATTGTGATCAAGCCAGAAATAATCAAAGGTACCAAAATAAATATATTAATTAAGTAGTCGGATTGATGGCATTATTTATCCGATAACTAATTATGCATAAATGGGTCAAAGTGCAATATTGACTTAGTAGTTATTTATTATTTAATTCGAGTTCAATTAATTTATTTTAGTGGAGTAGAAATTAATTTATGAATTAATTGAATTGGGTCCATGGATCGGGCCAATTATTAATTCATTGTAGCCAATAAAATAATAGGCCCAATGGATTCTCACTCATAGCCCAACTTGATATTGAAATCATATTAGATTTGAGACATGTGAATTAGAGATTGAGAAGGATTAGTTGTTTCCTTTTCTTTACCTTTATGTTACATATAAATATACATGGTCTATGTATATTTTAGGTGTGATTTTTAGTAGAAGGAAAAAGAAATATATATTTTCTCTCTCTAGAAAATTAGGGTTTATGTTCTCATCTAATGGAGGCTCCCACAAGCCTAGTTTTCCAAGGTCATTCATGGAGGCTTATGAGTGATTCTTAAAGGCAAAACAATTACCAAGAAGATGGAGATCCATGGAAAAGGTGTCTAGCAAAAGGGATCTACAATGAGTGAGAACGTTCACTTTAGAGGAGAGATCTAAGGTTTACTCAAACCTTGATGTAAGTATTCAATCTTTTAATTGAATGATACATCATGTTTTATTTTTGCATAAAACTTGTCTCTATGTGATGAATCAAGATCTATGAATTTAAATCTCTCGAAAAGTTTTTAAAACTAGCACGTTTCCCAACAGTGGTATCAGAGCGAGGTTTGATTCATTACTAGAGATCATGATTTTATGAAAATCATCATTCATGGATCCAAAATTATATTCATATACATTTTTATTGATGTATGTTGATGTATGATTTAATATGTTGATATATATTGATACATGATGATGTATGAATAACTGTGAATGAAGGATGATGTATGGTTGGGCCATGGATGAAGCTTATAGGAATATTGAATGTAATTTTATCTTTGAATGAATGTAATTAAGGCTTTGATTTAGCCGTTTGAAAGTTCAATGATGTAATTTATTTTTCCCATTGTATTTCAAGTTGTAAATATTTTTAAAGCCATGTAATATTCATCAAAGGATGCTATGAAGCTTCAAGAAGGTCCAAAAGGGTTAAATTATGCTTCAGTAATTTTCTGGAATTTTTCCGAATTTTTTGGAATTCTTCTGGAATTTTTTGAGGCTTAATTTAATTTTCTGGGAATTTTTCTGATTTTTCTGGAATTTTTTGGCCTTTTTCCAGTGGCCAGAGCATCGCCGGCGGTGAGAAGAGGCATCGGAGGAGGCTGGAATCAGATGTGGTGCATAGAGGGTGAGCCTGGCGCGTGAGAAACACGCGCCAGGAGGTGACATATGCTGGCGCGTGCATTGCACGCGCCAGCCAAGGTTGGATGACCTCCACGCGCGTGTAGGCGCGTGGAGGCGCGTCCCACGCGCCCACGCACGTGCCAGCGCGTGGGGGCGCGTCCTACGCGCCCCAGGTGCGTGCCAGCGCGTGGGGGCGCGTGCCTTCACCTGCAGCATGCCCCAGGCGCGTGTGAGCGTGTATGGGGCCCTCCAGGTGCGTTCCAAGCGGTGTTTTGCTTCTCCTGGTGCGTATCAGCCTTATGTGGGTGTTTGCAAGCCGATGGATGATCTTCCCGCGATACTTAGAGTAGTTAAATGTTAAAAGCTGATTCCATTGGCCATTTTATTTGCTTTAGCTGTTATTTATTTATTTATACGATGTATGAAATGCATGGACTATATAATTGTTAATTAATTATTATTCATGCATTGGATCCATGATATTTAATTAAATGACTTGATTTATATTAATTAAATTATAAAAATTAATTGGATTTAAATATTAATTAATTTGAGGGCATTTATTGGGAAACGAAAAATCATTTTTGTAAATTATTTTTAAAGTGTGCCTCAAATTAAATAATAGTGAATCGTTTAAAGTCCAAATATTTTCTAAATTTAATTGGATTAAAATTAAGACGTTTTGCATGCATCATATCATGTAAATGAATAAACTGAAAAACCCTAATTATAAATGATTAAAAAAATTGAGTGGGAGCAGGGATTTTTATACATTGCTCCATGGCCTTCGTTATTAATATCATTGTAATTAGATCTTCAAAAATAAGGCCCCACGCATGATTTGAAGAGTTTTAATATTACAAGAATGGTTATCTCATGAAAATAATAATATTAAATGTTCATTGTAATTAGATCTTTAAAAATAAGGCCCTACGCGTGATTTAAAGAGTCTAAATTATAATGACAAGATATTTAATATTTTATTTTTCATTAGAGTATTAATAACGTTATACACTCAATCTAAAATCAATAGTGTTAGCTCCCCAACGGAGTGGTCTACACTAGGTGATTTTAGAAAGGCTAAACATAATCGGGAATCATTTCATATATATACACAAGGCATTGTCTTAAGAGATATGGAGATGATGGGATTTGCCCGCCAATAGCAATAATGAACTTCGCCAACCGAATAAATTATTGGCGTATTGGTTATTCGATTTTTCATGCAGTGGTTAAGGGACCCACATACTATTTTAATGGAAGTGCTTGCCTAATAGTAAATGAATCTCAACAATAGTAATAATGAACTCCTCCAACAGGATAAGTTATTGACATATTGATTGGTTGATTTATTATGCTACAGAGTTGAGGGACCCGCATTAATTAAAAGGGATTGTTCACCAATAATGATAATGATCTCTTATTCAATTGAGATTTATTATATTATGTAGTTAACAAACTCATTTTAATTTTAAATATGCATGACAGTATTAATAATTCACCTAGCATATTGTATGAATGCATTTATATTCAATTTAATTATGTCTAATCCAGTTTATCTGCTTGCTTACATATTCAATGTAACTGGACGTCATTAATATTGACTGGGAAAGGAACTTAGATATTTTATTCACAACGTAAGGGTACAAACATATTTACTACTCCTAAACCTAATCCTTTTACTTTAAGATACCCAAGAGAGCATTAATGCTTTGAATAAGTGAAATAAGGCAAATGAGATGACTTGGTGCAATATTCTAGAGTTTACCTCGAATACGCTCCAAAGCTAACATTTACATTATTTTATTTTCTTCAAGCATCATGTTAAATGTCAATATGATGTTTTGGTGAGATTAGATAGGGCGTATGCTTACATACTATGTCAGACTTGAACACCATTAAGATAGCCTAAGGAACTCCAGTATGAAATCGAATTTTGGAAAATGATTGTTTATTATTTAAAAATTAGCTGGAGATCAATAGAGCTGACTTGAGTGGTAAGTTTCAAGTTGACATGATTATTGCCTTATTACCAAACTCGTTCGATTATGTTAGAGTGAGCTAAAT